TTACAGAGAAACTGTGGCATCCATGACTGTAAAGATAAAATATATAAAAGATAAAATTTGTGCACGCAGGCAATGATATTTGCAGAATGCCTAGTTCTTTTTACTGGCGGGTCAGGCATGCAGCTCCAATGGTTGAATAACAGAGTAATCTTTTAGCTTCTAGGGTTTGTTAGGTTCTAACTTTGATTGAATAGTTGACCCAGAGCCCCTTGTTGGAATAAACCCTACAACATTTGCTGTCACCCTATCCAACATTTTCTCAGTGGATTTCAACAACGTGAGTGAGTGTACTGATCTTCATCCACGAGGCCATCATGTCATACAGAATAATTGTGAGCATTTCTAGCAATGTACTGCAAAACTGGTCTTGTATTAAATGAGGCAGTGATCAAACTTCTGCCATCCAGGGCCAGATTGTTTGGCAAAAACAGAAGCCACAGTAATTGGGTCATTGTATTTCATAAGCCACTATCCTAACAATTTTGGGTGTTCAAAAGGAGACAGGTCATTGAGGAGAACATCTTCCATGAACCCTAATTAATTTGTACAAGTCAGCTCCGATTCTTAAAATCTTGCAAAAGCAGTAGTGGGGAATGGAAAAGCAATGCAGTTAAAGTCTGTTGTTATTGCTAACTTTTAACAGGAATGATAACTACCATACTTTTTTGAGTGAGGGTCAGGCATGCAAGCTTCCATTAAAATTGGTGGTGATACTGCAACATATATCTATGCTACCCGGGATCTATTGAACATTTTAGACAATTACCACAAGAAACAAAATCCCGCTGTAGCATAGATCAATCAATAATAAATGCACTCATAGTTTCTTTTGGAATCATTTTTTAGGACAATATATTTATTTAAAACAAATTCTCTACTCGGATCGTTTGTTCACTCGAATCTGCAGCACAAAAGATCTGGCATCCACATGTTAGGCACATCCAAGAATGTTCTCTCATTGTGTCATTTACTAAATCAGTTTGAAATATAATCAAGTCAACACAAAACATCCGACTAGTGGGGTTCAATCTCAGACTACTCGAATGAATTTAAGCTTACAAATTCAAGTTTGTGCAAGAGATGTTGCCACTCAAGAGTTGAACTCCACAAAAAGGCTGGCCTGTGGATGCAATCCTGCTTCTTTCAGGGACATAGAGAGCTTTTCTGGGCCATAGACAACACGGGGAAAATTGGACACAAGACTGTAACTTTTGACTTCTAAGCAACCCAACGAATCAACATAGTCATACAGAGACTGAATTGTTGCAGTACTTTGGAACCTCCTTTCCTTGCGCTCTCCAGTTGGGAACCGCACCAAAACCTAAATGGTCCAAAACATCACAAACAAAAATGTATCAGATTGAGAGCAATTTAATTTCTATCCCATAGAAGGAGAGAGAAAGAAATGGATAATACTATCCATGCGGTGCAACTGTTTAAGAAAATGTGATTCACGCTATTCTCAGTTTCCTGAACTCTTCATCTAATTCCATCAACAAGCTTGCATAATTTATGTGCCTTTAGAAATACAAAAAGTGAGCTATTTTGTGATGAGTGAAATAGTTCTAAAGAGGAGCACAAAATGTAATTACAAACAAAAAAATGGGCATTACTTGAGTAACATCAGGTCCTTTCTCAGGTTCAGCTCCAAGTGAAAGGGCTTTCTCCTCCCGCATTCTAGCTAATGCAGCTTCTTTCTCAGCAGCATCACGTGCCGCTCTTTCACGAGCCTCTTCTTCTTCCTTCTGCTTCCTTTCAGCTTCAGCAGCTTCCCTTGCCAGCTGTTCTTGCTCTTCTTTCCTCTGGCGTTCCCTAGCCTGAGATGGGTAGAGAAACCTCATCAAGACCATGCGGCATCACAATATGCTAATATTTCATTATAAAGCATAAGCTTTGGGGACTGAGAATGGGATAAAGAAAATAAGAAGTTGAATAATTTGACACACTTGATCAGCTTCAAGCGCTGCTCGATAAGCAGCATCTTGTTCCTCCCTCAAACGCAGGTTGGTTCTTCTTTCTTCTGCATCAAGCCTCGCAGCAACAAGAACAGGGGCACTTTCTTCAAGCACTTTCTGCAATATTGTCAGCATCTCCTCAGGAGATTTGGGCCCCTCAACCTGCATGATCAGAGGAAGAAAATAATTAAAAACAATAAAACAACTTACTTTCTGCCTTCAAGACGATATCTAAAGCAAGCTTGTGACTGCTGTTGTTGTCCGTGAGTGAGTGAGTGTGTGTGTGTGTGTGTGTGTGTGTGTGTGAGAGAGAGAGAGAGAGAGAGAGAGATTTGAACCACAGAGTTTATTAACAAATTAATAAGATTGAAGGTCAATTTTGAGGGAAGTCCATCATAATATTTTGTTGTTATAAGCAGGACAGATGTTTTTCCCTGCTGTTAATAAGCTGACTTAAAATGGAAAAGGCTGGGTCTTTCTATGAAGCACAGATGCTTCTAAAAAGGTGTTGTGTCCATTTCAGACACCGACACTTGTTGAACACTTACCGATATGTGTTTTGGAGACACTTCTAACTGTCCAAATTTTTTTAGACAAGGACACACTTTGGATACTTGGGGGACAAACTTATCCATTGTTTAGACACATATGGAACACATTACAAGTTTGAATAAAATAATTTCAGATCCAATGGTTACGTTGTATATTTTTATTAACTTTGAAGGAAATATTCATACATTTAACATATTTTGGACATGTCCCCCACTTGTCATGTCCTACAATTTGTGAAAATTGTCATATTGGCGTGTCTGTGCCCATGCTTCTTAGGGTCTTCCTACAACAGCAAAATACTAAATGCTTTCTATTTCAGATGGGGTTTTCTAGAATACTTCACAGACAAGATATAGACTAATTAAAATGCTACTATTTTACAACGTTATGCATGAGTAAACACAAAAGAATAATTTAGCAGCCAGGAAAAGATGAAGGTAAAAACAGTACAGTGGCAACACAAATCTCACAATCCAAAGCTGTCAGCTGCAACTCAGGCAGGTTTATTGGACTAGGGACCTGTCCAAGCTCATCCCAAGGTGCACTGGGGACTGCCCCAGCCCGAACTCCCAGCTCAAGCACCCAACCCAAGTTTAAAAAAATGAGTATAATTTTGCTTGGGTTGACCAATATTAGAGTTATTAAGCTCCAGTAGCCCAAATTTTTACAATGACAAGATGAGTTTCAAAAAGTAATGCTCTCTGATTATTGAACACTTTAATGCTCAGAAAAAGCAAAAATAAAAGACGAGAAAAAAGAAGAGTAAGAACAGCTTCATAGACAGATTAATTAAAAGAACCAATACACACATGGACATACATATATACACATTTTGATTGTCGCCATTTGAACACATCAGTGTTATTAAAGGCGATAGACGCACCAAGGCGCCAAGGTCTCCTGGGGCCTAGGCTCAAGGCGCAAGGCAAGGCGCAGACTTCACCAAAGTGAGGCGCACTTTGTACAGAAAAAAAAAAATATAATTTAATATAAGTAAATAATTTAAGGTTCAACATAAACAAAATGAAATGTTAAACATTTAGGCTCTGTTTGGTAGAACTTTTTAAATATGATTTGAGAGTAGGAGTTGTATTTTGAGTTTGTGAGTTTTGGAATTATAATTTGAGTGTGGAAAATTTGTTTGGTGAAAGAGTTTTGAAAAGAGTTTTGAATTGAGTGAGGAATTTTTGATGTGACATATGGTATTTAATACAAAAACTTACAACTCATAACCAAACATACAACTCAAAATTCTATTAAAGCACATAAAAAAATTTTAAAAATTCAGAAAATATTTTTTTCAAATATATAAAAATTAACATATGTCAATTGCAAAAAATAAAAAAAAAAAATATTTGCACTATTCCGGTCAACCGGCCGAACAACCGGTGGGATATCCGGTAAGACGTCCGGTGGGACGACCGATTAGCCCAAATTTTCCCGACTTCGACCACGTTTTCAAAAGTGAGCGTGGAATTATTTTCGAAAATCACAAACAAACACCATACTCAAATCAAGCTCTGGAACTAACGTTCCAGTGCTCCACCAAACGGAGCCTTAGTGTTTTTTGGAGATTAGGAATTAAGGCTAATTTTTCTTCTATCATTGATTTGGGGTTGAATGCCCAATGTATTGGCATCTGTAATAAGAGTAGGGATCTTCTATAGCTGCACCATATTAAATCAACAGCTAGATTTTAAACAAAATCAATTAAAGCAACAATAAAACAAAAAACCTCAAGATGCAAGCATTGGGCCAATCAGGCGCCTTATCACAGTCGCCTGGCCTAGAACACTACAAGGCACAAACCTTAAACCTGGATGGGACTTGGGCCTAGGCGCGCCTTATCGAAATTGCCTGGCTTGAAACACTTACAAGGCGCAAACCTTTGGCCCGGATGGGATTTGAGCCTAGACACACGCCTAAGCATGCCTTTAATAACACCAGAACACATGTATCTAGCATAGGTGTGCACAAACTTCTGTACACATATATTGAGAGAGAGAGAGAGAGAGAGAGAGAGAGAGAAAGAAAACTCAAGAAAGTACTGAGAGATAGCAAATGGTGGGCTGGAACAGGAATTTAACTAGCTTGTTGGCAGTGCAAGGTGGCACTTGCAGCAGTGGCTGCTGGGGTGGTTGGTGGGTTCTTTGCAGCTGCACAAACAAGGTTGGGGTTAACCTGTAACTTTTAGTCTCTTTAGAGTGAGAAGCCCTAGCAATGTTGATGCTTATTTGATCCCGCATACAATCTAATGACTGCTATTAAACTATTTTTTTGATACCAGTCATTAGATTAAAATGGCAGCCCTGGCTGCCGGAGAAAACAAAAGGCTCCCTATATATAAATACACAGATTTTTACGGATGAAAAGCATGTCCCAGATGTTGTTAAGAGATTAAACAGAGGGAACAGAAGAATGCACAGGCCAAATATTAACTTAGATGGCGCAAACCAGTGATTAAACTACAACACAACAGAAGAGTCCTACTATACAACTGAAACTACAATATGTGCTTCAAGTGATAATAGTCTTTTTGCACAAATCGAGAAATGGTATTAATCCAAAAAAAAAAATAACCACTTCCTTACCACATAAACTTGTAAAAGGGGGCAAGTCTAGAGCACTAGCCCTGTGCACAATCACCATAACAATACATGCAAGATTTCTGCTCAGATCTCTATTTTGAGAACAACAAAGGTCTACAAAGGTAAAGAGAAAATAGACCAATAAAAGCTCCTTGTGACTCCCAGTTGTGATCAGCCTCGTCTCATGTCTCTCCGTTACCAGACCCCACTAATGAGGAATCAATTGCAATTCCTTTAGGAAGACCAAAATGCGTAGGTAGATGCATTGCTCTCCAATTTGCACATTTGCTGCCAGATTCGCTACCTTGCTATGAAAAAAAAATTGCGATTCAACTAATATTACTGTAAGCTCAAATGCTAACTTAATGTTCATGAAATACGTCTTAGCGCATTCCACAACCTAGCATTAGCCAGCAATTGTTTATGTAATAACTCTCAAAACACAATTTTACTACTCTAACATACTCAAGAGCTTGTTGTGAATTGGATGGCATAATTTCTTCAAACACATGATGGGGAAATTAAGCATGATGAATTTGTTTATTCATTTACTTTTCATATATGATGAACCAGAGATAGAACAAGAAAAGAGATAAAAAAGAAGGCAAGGGAGGGAAGGTAGGACAAGAGGGGAGGGAAGACACAAGATTTGAGAGGAGTAAGAATACACGTCCAAGAGGAAGACATGAGAAGAGAAGGCAATACGAAAAAGGAATCATGAGGAAGAGAGAGATATAAAAAAGCAGCAGAAAATAAGAGAGAGCATAGACCTAGAATAGAAGAGGAGGAGGAGGAGGGGAGAGAGCTATTCTAGATGACTCATGAAACTTAATAACAAGTAATTGCCATGAAGAACAAACTTATGGCTATGCATATGGTAACAACTTAACAAGCAACAAGTTAAACAACATGATTTCACTCCTAAAACCCTACAAACATCTAAACATAAGAAACTAAAAAGAAATGTATACTTAGTTTAGTCCCCATTAGATGGGGGTCTAGGAGGGGTAGATTGGATACAAGCCTAACCTTTGACATTTTGCACAAAGTGGCAACCCTTGGGTTCGAACTCACAACCTCAAGGTTGATAGACCAAGTTTTAATCACTATACCAGTGGCACCCTATCTAAAAATAAAAAACTAGTACAACAAAATTAAAAAGGCTCCTACTAGAATTCAAACAACTCATTAATTATCTTCATGGCAATCTTTCACAGCTAAATTGCATAAATCCCCTCTTTTTGGAGAGAGCTCAACCTCTAGTTTCAAGACTCTTCAAGTTTGAATAGACTAACAATGTATTGATGTTTGCAATAGATCTTTCACTCTAATACCACGTTGATGTAACCTAGCCCACACAAGTATTTATTCAAACATGGGATAGGATAAAAATTTATGTCAACATTTTTTGTTCTTTTATTTAATATATGTTGAAGGATAGAGATAAACAAAGAAAAACGATAGAGAGGTGCAAGAAGACATGAAAGAGAGAATCTTGCGTCTTCTAACACTTTAATTTTCTTCAAATATTATTCATCTCCAAGAGGTAATTCATTTAGGAGCAATTTATACGCTTCATAAAACCCTACAAACCGCACAAACACTACTTATACTCATCCTACCCCATAAGGTAACAAATAAAACATTAGATTTTACTCTTAAAATAACATATAAACTCTTAAGAACATCAAAACTCAGTAACATTATTCCAACAAACATCCTAGTTAGCAAAACTATAGCAATCAAAAGACATGCTCTTGTCAGTCCATCTAAAATAAGAAAATGCACAACGCAATTATAAGGATTTCTAATAGAATTATAACAACCCAATTAACTATCTTCACGAGAATCTTGCATAACTAGACTGCATACAAAACTCTCATCTGATATTAAGAATAAGTAATCGTAGTGGTCACACTACATTGGTTGCCAAAATGCATGAAAATTTGGGAACGAATGATGGATACCATGAATGAGGACCTAAAAGACTAAAATGGACTCATTTGAATATATCAAGTAATCCAAATTATCCATATGGTTCACTCAATGCTCCATTTCCAGCCAACTTTGATCCCACTATGCTTTATAAATCAATGCTACCTTCAAGAAAAAGTATCTTCACATGCACTGAGATATTCTACAATACAATCTAATTATCTTCATGCAGTAGAGTATTCAAACTACTAGGAACAATGCTGTCCTTTCCATCAGAAAGAGCAAAAACTGCCATTATTTTATAGTGAACATATTTCAGAAGGAGCAATATCAACCTTTCATTTCATTTTGAACTTGTAAGTATAAATAACCTTATCAATCCAAATTCAGCATCCAATATCATCAACCAACCAACAATCACTAATCACTCAAATAAATCTTCTCTAATTTGTGAAATGGAAAGGAAAACCAAGAACATTCTTACTTCCTTAAACCATAAAACCAACCATTGCTGTGCTCTACTCTGTTCCCTTTTATGAAGGGGGCAAGGTCAAATCTTGCATTCATTCAGCAAAGTCAAGTCAGAAGGTATATTGGCTATGAGTAGCAGCTGACAGATAAAGGTGGTCATTGGGGCCCACAAGCTCCCCAAAATTCACAAAATTCCATATATTCCCCATGCTTTTTAGGTATAAATAAATCCAAGTAATTTTATGTTGCACCCCAGATTCAAAATCATCTCTCTCATCAACCATAGAGCTTGAGGCAATTGAATTTTAAGCCATACATGCACAAAGACTGGCTCTGTCCAAAAGAACTATAATTAGATGCCAATAAGTTACATTTGAATCATTTATTTCCATCTTAATCCCATTCATACCTTCTTATAAAAGATCAGCGCAAAGAGATACCACCTATTTTTATCTTCATGCTTAGTGGTTCCATGCGCTAACAAAAATTCCCCTAACCTAAAAGCATGTTTCATGTTATGAGGTTATGCAAATTCAAACCAATTGAAAATGAACCTCTTAACACACCTTTGAGAGAGTGTCATTGAAGACTTACTGACCGGATGCTATAAAACCTACATGAATGTGTGTGAGTGCACACATGAGAGAGAGACAGAGAGAAAGAGAGAGTTGCTTTAATGAATAATACGAATAATTGTGTTTACCTGTGCATGTTCAACTAAAAAATGACATCCATATTTGTGTGTTTAAAATTCACTCGAGTTGTATAATCACAAGAGAAGAATCACAAAATGAGATTGGAATCATAATGTGATAACTCATTGACAAAATAACATAAAAGAACATAAAAATACAGATACGAATGCATGAGACAAAGCTACAAAATACCAGAAAATATAGATAGGATAGGAGCATCATAAGACAATGCTAAAGTATTTAAAAAACCAAAATCACTCAATGGCCCCCACATAGTTGTATATCAAATGTCTGAAAACGAATAAACCATTGACTGTTCTTATGTTAATAACACGAAGTCTTAGGTTTTTTGGGTGAATAACACAAACTCTAGGTTGGTCCAACAAATAACCATATTAACAGAAAAGGGAGATTCCAACTTTTTCACCAAAAAGTCCAAGTTCAAGATTCTACAAAACTAATTCCACATCAATTGCCAAAACAAATAAACCATCATGTGTTCTTGTGTTCCCAAAAAACTGTAATTTGGTCCAGCAATAGCATTATTAATAAAGAATAGAGGCGTAAAACTCTTTGACTAAGATTCTTAACTTCTATGCACCTCGCATTCTAAGCTTTGGTTTCTATTGAAGAGATTAAATGAGGGTTAGAAAGAGAAATGGATTTCTCTCCATTTCTTCCCACTTCAACCCATTTATCTTCTCTTTTACTAATCCAAACAAGTGATACGAACAAAGAGAAATGCATTTCTTTTCTATTCTTTCCAAATCAACCAATACAAACAACTGTAATTTAAGAGAAAATGCTAAAATTGGTCTGAAATTTGAGATTCACACCTGCTGAAGTAGGGCAATCCTCTGATTCGTGGCAGCCATAACCACAGCACAAAAAGGAAACCTTGAGGCCTTCAAGCTGTTACTCATCTTGAAACCCTCACTAGCCCGAATACTCCCTCCCCACGCAACGAAATTCTCGTTCACAAATGCTGCCAATAATTCAGAACACAAAGTCCTCTCACAAAACAAAGGCGTATCGGGATGATCAGGCGAGTGCAAATACACAAACAACAGTTTAAACGCATGTCGCGACCGATTTAAAGCATCCATAAACCCTTCCGCAACGAAATTCGGACGAGTAGCCCCATAATCCCTCTCGAAACCATCCACAAAACCCATCGCCTCGGACGCAGAAGCCGATACCGAAACCAACGGAGCCGAAGAAGAAGAATTGCCAATACGACTCGAATTCAATCCAATCATGCTAAGAGAATAGGAGAGGACACCACTAGCGGCCCACATGCCGAGACCAATTGCGCCAGAAATCAACCCTAGGCTACCAGAAATGATGGAGAAAGGGAGAGTGATGAGCTTCCATGCCAAGCCAGGAGGAGAAGGGCCGCGAGCGACTAGTCCTGTTCCTTCTGTGTTGGATTGGGCGGTGGTTGCTGCGGAGGTGGTGGTGGTGGTGGAAGAGGCGGAGGGATTGTTGTCGGCGGAGGTGAAACTGGAGATGGCTTGTTCGAGGTCCCAACCATGGGCGGAGAGGATTTCGGTGCACAAATCAGGGTCTTCGAGGCCTGTGATTGCTTGAAAATAAGCTAATTTGTCTGCTACATCAACCATATCTCTGTATATATGTGTGTGTTTCAGTTTGAATTGAAGAAAATTGTAGAATTGGATGGAATTAGGGTTTGGAGAATAACACAAAATATTGATTGATAAGAGAGAGAGAGGGAGACACTGCTTTCTCTTTCAAATCAACAAACAGTGTAGAAAGTTTGTAATGGTGCTGGGGTTTATGGGATCGAGGACGAGAGACACGATGATGATGAGATGATGATCAACTGATTTGATTCATTCTGGAGTTTGTCGATTCATAAATAACAAACAACACTGCCATTATTTATGGCACAGCGGTCCTGATGTGATGAGATTCATTGCAGTTTTTACCGGACGTATTTTAATTATTTAAATTATTTATATGATAAGGTTGGTCTAATATATTATTTATAAAAAAATAATAATAATAATGATCAAGTTTTCATTATTTTTAAAAAAATTATAAAAATATGTTAATCGTTTAACTTTTTTTAAACAAATAAAATATATCAAAAAGAAGGTTTTTAATGAACCTCACAACAGGATGCTAAGGCATAGTAGCATCCCAATTACTGTTTAACTTCAATACTTATAATTGACTCTGCGAACTTCAATCCTTATAATTGACAATATATTATCGCACTACTCTTACAATGGTGTTATACAAACAAAAAAATTTACAAATTTTTCTTACAAATTGATATAGCATCGAGTGATATAACTTTGGAATATGAAATGAGGCACAACTTACTTATATTCTAAATGACACATCAGTTTGTAAGAAAAATTTATTTGAAAAGTTTGTCTTTATAGCACTACTCATCTGAATTTAGCAATACATGTCAGCATTGTCATTTTCTAGCGCTTGATCAGTGTTTAGGGGAGCTAATTAGAAAATATTATGAATTTCAAATAATCTATTAAATTTTTTATCAAACTTTTTATATAGGTGTAGAATTCACACAAACTCACATGTGCGTGAATCTCACATTCATGTGAGAGGTTTGATAAAAAAAAAATTGACACATTATTTGAGATCCCTAACATTTAAGCATATTTCCCAAGATTCATGCAACTTTGAATTGTTATAATTTTTATTTATTATTTACTAATTTAATTATATTGGAATGGAAGGTATGCAATGGTTAATCTCTTCATAGGGTGTGGTATGCAGCTTTTTCCCTATAAAGATTCACATCAATGGAAAACTTTTAGCATTTCCAGTGAAGTTTAGAGCAAAATTATACCAACTGAAGTAGGTACATTTTTTTAGTATTATTTGGTAGTACCTTTTTTAGGAAAAATTATTAGAAAGTCTCAGAATTATTTAGTCCAATTAGTCACACAAGTTTTCTAATACGTCTTATTTATTTTTGATAATCTTATTGTGAGATTCTATTTTAAATTTTGGTATGGTTTAATGAACATTTTTACCCTTTCTCATTGGAGGATGTCATCTTAGGGAAATTGGATCCAATTTTTGGATTGAATAATGCTTGGGACCCCTTTTGGGGGGGTCACCCCCTCACCTTCCTTTGCCACGTGGCAGGTGGTGATTGGAGGAGCAGGAAAAAAAAGAAAAAGAAAAAGAAAAGGTAACCAATGAGAGAGAGAGGGGGTCAAAGGGGGTGGGGGAAAAGGGGGGATGAATCATTACTCTTTTGGATTACGTTTCTGTCACTCTAATATACTTTTTTAGGAAAAATTATTAGTAGAAAGTCTCAGAATTATTTAGTCCAATTAGTCACACAAGTTTTCTAATACGTATTATTTATTTTGATAATCTTATTGTGAGATTCTATTTTAAATTTTGGTATGATTTAATGAACATTTTTACCCTTTCTCATTGGAGGATATCATCTTAGAGAAATTGGATCCAATTTTTGGATTACGTTTCTGTCACTCTAATATAATACTCCAACTTAACAATCAAACGTAGCAATCCAAAAAAACTCCTTAGTGTATTTTTTTTCAAATGTAACACTCCTCTAACGTAACACACTAAAAAAATACTCTAACGTAATATACTAAAAAACTCTTTAATGTATTTTTTCTAAACATAACACTTCAACACTAAAAGACTCATTAGTATATTTTTTCCAAACATAATATTCCTCCAACATAATACACTAAAAAACTCTTTAGTATACTTTTCTCAGACGTAACACTGCAACATTATAAACTCCTTAGTGTGTTTTTTCACAACGTAACACTTTAACATAACATTTCAAAAACGTAACACATTAAAAAATTTCTTAGTGTACTTTTTTCAAACGTAACACTCAATACTAAAAAGACTCATTAATGTACTTTTTCCAAACGTAACACTCACTACTAAAAAGACTCTTTAATGTACTTTTTCTAAACGTAACACCCCAATATAACACACAAAAAACGTAACACACTAAAAAATCCTTGCGTACTTTTCTCAAACGTAATACTTTAACGCAACTTCACAAATGTTGTTAATGTGGCAAGCAAATGAGTCATTACACATTAAAAAAGACTAATGGATCACAAGAAAAAATATAAGACTATATAGATCACAAATCCAAAATATGAGACTTATTGGTTAATCTCCCTATTTTTTATTGGAAAAATAACAAATCAGTACAAGTTTGAATTTTTTTTTTTAATACAAATTAGTGATAAACTTTTCAAATTCTAATAATTAAATTTATAAATTTTATCATGAATATGTAATTTTTTTTTTAAATGTCACCTATTTGTAATTTCCCTCTTTTTATTTTTATTTTTTTGTGGATCAATATGTCAATTTATTTATTTTTTTAAGGAAAATTTAGTCGAAACCTATCTATTGGACCCTTATTTAGTGAAAATGACAGCCTAATTTATTTTTTTTCATAAACTCTCTAAGGAGAAAACATATAATTGAGTAAAGATAAAGTAAAATATCTTTATTTTTTTTCCCAGACAATATTGCCAGAGTTACATGTTATTGTGAACCAAAGTAACATGTTACCGTCAAACAAAATAGCATATTACTATGAGACAAAGTAACATGTTACTGTCAAACAAAATAACATATTACTGTGAGACAAAGTAACATATTACTATCAAATAGAGTAAGGTGTGTTTGATTGAACGGGCTGGATAAGGGGATTAAAATTGTGGGGACATAATTTTCTAATGACAATACATGGCCGAGGTGGCACCAAAGTGTCAACCGAGGTGCCACGTGTCTTGGTCATGACTCTGAGATAATCTCGGTTAGGCCGAGGTTATCTGCGAAAATACCGGAATTCGGGATAAGCGGATAAAGAACAAGAGTCCTAGATTTGGAAAGGACTTCAATTTGGATAAAAATAAGACTTTTAGAGAGTTTATCCCAATCTAACTAGGAGTCCAAGATTAACATTGAAACAGAATCCATTGGAACTAGGCTTCTATTGGGATTAGGTCAGTGTTGGCTATAAAAGAGAGGTATCATCATGGGTCTAAGGTATGTTTTTTTGTATTCTGAATAGTGAATTAAACACTTTTGCTATCTTTGAGAGATAATTAACTTGATCGTCGGAGTACCCCTGAGTGGACGAACTACCGTCAGAATCCCTTCTTTTTGTGACAGGTCGTTCGAGCTTAATCTATTCTACCAGTGTTCTCCAGCTGAGTATCTGTTTGGTAGTGTGGTCAGAAATTGACTCACACAAAAATCAATCAGGCTTGAATCTTGGAACTGTGAATTTCTCAGACTATTTGGTTGAATTGGATGTATATCTTGTGTTTGTTTTTTCATGGGATTAGATATCTGAAAAGAATTATTTTTAGTTTATCCAATGTTTAGTTAGACAGACTGGATAGGATAAGTGAGAAAAAGACTATTTTACCATTTTTTAATTGTTTACTAAATAATAACAATATTAAACATATCTTTAATATTTAAATTATTTTTAGCTAGATTAATAAAAAAAATTAATTTTTTATACAATTAAATAAATTTATATATGATATATTTTTTTAAAAATTTAAATAAATTTATGTTAAAAATAATAATAATTAAATAAAACATCTATTAAAATTTAAATAATGAAATTAAATAAAATATAAACAAAATTTTAAAATAAACCATAAATAAAATATCTATAAAAAATTAAATAAATAAAACATCAATAAAAATTTAAATAAAATTATTTTATTTTTAAATTGAGACATTTAAATTTTATTGAATTTTACTAAATATAATATATAATTAAATAATAGAGGATCAAAATAGTCATTTCACCACCTAATTCCAACAATAAATTATCCTATGGAAATAATCTCACCCCTTGTAGGATGCAATAGTCCCATACGAGGGATATGGAGTCCGGCCGGACTCCATGTCCAGCGGATTAAAAAAAATATAAACGCCGGATAAAAAACTTCCATCGGATTGCAATCCGAACAGTGTTTAGTCCCCTTTCCCCAATCCCCCAATCAAGCACACCATTGTCAAACAGAGTAATTTGTTACTGCGAGACAAAGTAGTATGTTATTGTTACTGTTTATATCAATTTTAATAATAATAAATTTTTTTAAAAAAGAATTTCATAGTTTACATAGATCTTGATGAGATAATTCTAAAAATATTAATCTTATTAAAAACTAACATTTACATCAAAGGTTATATTACTTTGAAGTTTAATATTTTGATAATAGTGATATTTGTTAAATTTTTTAAGGAAAACTTTTTGTGGTTATCCTTAATGTATTAAAATTTTATTATGAGAGGTTTTTGGGATTTGATCAAAATCCCTCATTGTAAAAGAATAATGCTATATGTACCAATTAGTATATTAACTTGTGTACCAATTGATGATGTGGCATAATTTAAAATATTTTTTGTATTTGTAATTTGTATAATGAGTAGAGTCTATAATAATGTCAAAACTAGTGTTGGTACACTAGTTAGTACACTAATTGGTGTATGTAGCACCATCGAAATAAAATTTTAATGCATTAAAGACAAACACAAAAAGTTTTTCTTGAAAAGTTCAGATTGAAAAGTCCAACATATACCATTATTACCAAAATATTAAACTTTAAAATAATATAATTTTTTATCTAAATGTTGATTTTTAATAAAATCAGCATTTTTAAAATCCTTTCATCAAGATCTATCAAATAAGATCTATGTTGACTAAGAAATTCTTAACCCAAAAAAAAAATTATTACCGTCGAAATTGATATAAACAGTAATATATTACTCTGTTTGACAGTAGCATGTTATTTTGGCAATATTGTCCAAGAAAAAAAAAGATATATGCACCTCCTTCTTAGGGGGTTTATGAAGTAAAATAAATTGAATTGTCCTTTTCACCAAATAAGAATCCAATGGAGGGGTTTTGGTTAAATTTCCCTTTGTTTTTAAGTAGGACGAATTACACTAACGATCACTGTAATTTGAGACTTGTGTCACTTTGGTCCTTAATATTTCAATTGTGATATATTTGACCTTGAATTTTGAATCTCGTTCCAAATGTAGACAATTGAAGACATTGTTGCTCCATTTCAAGGGAAAAGTTATCAATTTGATAAAATATAAATTAATTTGACAAAAATAAACATCAAAAAATATTTTAAAATTTTAAAAAATTATTTCTACCCACCAAAGATAAAATTATATAAAAATAATAAATCTTTTACATTTTTATTTTTGTATTTTTTTACCAAATTAATTTTTATTATGTGTTTGGATGATAATCATGTAATGAGTGGTTGTTTTTATTAATATTTTTGGATGGTTATCATGTAATAGATGGTGTATTTGTTATTAACAGATTTTTTTTTTATAGTCATCATGTAATGGATGGTTATTAAGACTCTAATGTGCAATCGATGTGTTTAATATATGAAATGTTTTAGTTTTGAATTTTTTGATTTAATGAATTGGTACTTTTGAAAAAGTAGAAACTAATTTAACAAAAATAAATATCAAAAAATTTTATTTTCTATCCTCCCAAAAGATGATAAAATTATATGCACCTCTAAAACTCTCTTTTTAGAACTCTCAACCATTTTTTTTTTCTTTTTTTTTTTTACCTGCTTAGCCCTTTACCAAAACAAACCCAAAATGGAAAAGAACCACTACAAATAATGGGGAGAGAATTGAAATGGATGTGACATGGTAGCTCATTAATCGCAATCACCATGGTTCCAAATACCATGGTTCCAAAGATGTAATCCTCTCCCTCTATCTTAACTGATTGATTCTCTAACCCTATTAGTGTAGCATTAATTAATTAATCTATTATAAAACTCAAAAAATTAATCTCAATCAATATTGTTCTAGCAAAAGGGTTACATCTTTGCCAAATATGGTGGCCACTAATAGTGATGAGCAGTTGGGGTGGAAGAGGGAGGAATAATTGAAAATTTATTTTCTAAACAATAGAACTAACTTCTTTTTTCTTTTTCTTTTTTATAACAAGAATTTAGTAAATTTTTATAAACATGAACAAAAAACTGTGAATATGTATGATTTATTCAAATTGAGTTGAAATGATTAGTGTACAACATAGAAAGATGTGCACGTCCCATTCAGTTTTTTGAAAGTTATTTGATTGAATATGTTGGCACAACATGGAAAGATATTAATAATACCTGAAAATTTGTTTTCAAAGCTATAATAATTCATTGCATAATGGAAAATTCCCCTTGGCAATTGAAGTCACTGCATAAAGCAATACAATTAGCCAAAGTACAATCAAACTCATGATTATAACAAAATTAAGAGAATATTAGCACGACTCGAAAACTTGCCACTGTGGTCCTGTAAGCTGTTTTATACTTGCAATTTTCTTTTCCCCAAAGAAATTTACGATTAATTATTGCCTTTTTGGTAATTTAAAAATTCAGACCTCCTCAAGGACTTTCATGGTTTCCTCATCTTTCTGTTGATCAGATAAAATTTTATTATTAAGTTGGTTTTGTTTGGGCTTGTCATCATCATCAACTGCTGGCTTGAATTCAGCCAGCCTCTCTAACTCTTCAACCGTGTCAACAATGGCTTCAACACGTGCAGCGATTTCAATCAGTAAAGAAGCAAAAGTTCCAAGTGGAATGACTTCCACAAGAGGAACTGTGGTGGTACTACTAGTTGTCAAAATTGGTTCTCCTTTGTCATTTTCAGGAGATTTGGGTGGAGAAATGAGTAAACCAGGAAGGGATTTCAAATCATTTCGGAGTTCTTCTACTGCAATATTCATTTCTTCAACTAAGACGTCTAGTTTTGTTGATTTCCTCATTGTCTTGATCTTCATTGCCAACTCTCTTATGACACTTGATGAGTTGGTGTTGACTCTGAAGCAGAGATCACTTAGACGCTTCTTTATGAACTCGGGGGCCTGCAAATCAGTCACGATAAGAAAATTAAGCTATCTCCTATATATGGAAGAAGAAAATGAAGTTTTAATTAAAATTGCATAAATTTCACCTGATTTTCTGAGATTACACAACTATTGAGTGCCTCTATGCAGTAAGCACAATTGCGCATTGATGCCCCAATTTTAAGGTACTGATTCCACGGATGCTGGAAGCTGAAGCGCCCGTGTGCAGGCTCCCATCTAGCAAATCCAGCCTATACAATTCAAACCCGTCTTGGTTTTCAGTCAATAATTTCACATAAAAGGATTTTAACTAACTATTCTTAAAAACCTCTAGGATACCATAGATTCTTCAGTGGCCTCTGAGTTCAGCACACATTTGTAGCCTTCCAGTTTTTTTTCAGTCTCTTCGTTAATGTCAGTATTGTTAAAATACTGAGCTACGCAACCTATAAAGATTGTTGGAAGGATACATAACATTTTAATATGCATAACTTCAACCACATTAAAAGTTGTACTGGATTGGATGTATACAATAAGCACTTACAATCCAAGGAATTTTCCAGTTTGTTCATGTTACGGATGATGAGATGATAGAGCTCCTCACCGGCCCAAATGGGGCAGACAAGAACGCTTATAAGAATGCAAATAGAAGTTCCTATGATAATGGTGGACAATCTTTGATGTGCCATATTAAACAATTTCTCTACCCGGTAACCTGATATCGAAACTAGGCTGAAAGTCAGGATGAAGATCATCGCACCATAGTCAAACCGAGCTTTTATTACTGGAATAAATCTAGAGAATGTTGCTGCAGAAGCTGCAAAATAATTTTAAAAATTTATAAAAAAAAAAAAAAAAATCAATATATGCACATGAGGAAGTACCTAAAATTTGAGGGAAGAATGTATACAGACCTAATAGGAAAACTGAGACACCAACAATTATGGGTTCAAAATTTTCGCCTGATTGATTAGCAATCCAGTGAACCCCAACTGCAAGGAATCCAGCAAGAAAAGTACCAGTAGCTCTGTTCAAGCATTTACTGACTGTGGCACCTACAACACAATCTAATAGTGTCAGTCAACATATTTTGAAATTGTTCTTCTTTGGATTTGCTAAAACAATATATTGATTGATGGGTTAAACTTAACTTCTAAAAAAGTTTGAATGAATTTTTTGAGTACTTACCAACAGTGTACTCAAAGATTACAACCACTGTCATGATAGCCCACATGGCATTCCCACCAACACCTTCATACAAAGGCCTCATGTAATAGAAGAGTGAGACAATTGTGAGAGCTATCCCTACCTTGAGACAATGAACCACTTTTCTAGGTTCATCTGCCCCTAACTCCCATGCCTTCTTCAGAAAATTCCATACCTTTAAACATGCTTTCTTGGCAGTTCCCGACTCCGGTGGCAAGATTTCAGTTGAGCCATTTGCTTCCCTTTTCCTCCACTCAACTGTTCCATGAGCTTCCTTTATGGCATTCATGTTTTATGCAAGGCTGTGGTAATTTAGATTGAAATGGAAAAGATTTGGTAATTTAGTTTGACAAATTTGTGGTTAAAGGAGATAAAGACAACATGCAGAGGCTAAAGGTTTAGTTGATTGGATTGGAGTGACAGTAGCAGCCTATATATAAAGAGCTAGGTTGGCCCCTAACTCTCCTTTTCAAGAAAAAATACTCTAAAAAAAATAATCACCATGCTTGTTTTCACTTTTCAAAAAATACTTTTCAGAAAATTTTATTTTCTTATTTTTCGTATTTTTTTGTTTTACTGATTTTTTTTAATATTTTAAATAATTTTTTTACTTTTTAGACACACCTAACATAAATACACCTAAAAAGTAAAAAAATTGTAAAAAAAATCTTTAAAAAATTCACTAAATATCAAAAATATAAAAAAAAAATACAAGAACTCAGTACATTTTTTATATTTTTATGTATTTATTAATTTTTTAAAATATTTTTTCACAAATTTTTACTTTTTAAATACATCTAAGTAAGGTGCATCTAAAAAAGTAAAAAAAAATGTTTAAAATTTAAAAAATATTCACTAAAAACAAAAGCGATATTTTGATTTTTTAAAACCTTTTTTATGAAATGAAAAAAATTAATGTTTGAAATGATTCTTTTGATTGAATAAATAATTGTGAAAAAAAAATTAATGTATTTGATATGACATTTTAATTTTACTTATAAACTTTTTAACTAAAAAAGTAATGAAAAATTACTACCCATGAAATGTTTTGAAAAATTATATATGAGAGTGAAAAAAAATTATAATTATAATTATTAATATTAATAAAATTTATCACTAATTTATAATTATTTTTTAAGTTATATCTCTCTACACAAGAAAAGTTATCTTATAGATCCGACCTATTAAATAGTTATGTGTCTAACTTATACAACAAGAGGACACATAATCAATTCTTTTAAAATGATGAGAAAATGTAGCAAAATTTAGTTGCATGATCCAATACACTTAAAATGGCAGACCATATAGGATACATGCTAGAACTATAAGATATTTTTTGAGTCACAAAAACATCATCTCTAAAAACAGGAGTATAGATGTAGCGGCTCCAAAAAAAAAAATTTAGATGAGGTCATGCAAAAACTTAGAAGCTAATTATCAAATCCTATATAAATGAAAATCTCAACAAGCTTCTATTAAAATAAATGCAAATATCTATTGTTTTTCTATTGTCTTGCATAATAACCTCATTATTGAAGGAAAAAAAAAACCGCGACTAATGGGTGTAATGAGAAACCCAACAATAATTCAACTTAAAAAATAAAAATAAAAAAAAATAAAATTCACAACTGAACCAAAAAAATTCTAATTTTAGCATAATATATATGTCCTCTAAGTAATTTCACCAAGAAGTGATGTATTTTCCCTTTAACCTATAAAATTTGTGTAGGAGACGGCTGAGCTGGATGCAAATATAATAATTGATGGATACAAAAGAAGTAGTTGTAAATAATTATCTAATATTAATATTAAAAAAAATTTAATTAAAAAAATTTTTAGTCTAAATGAAGGGGTCAGTTGATCAGATTAATTACTATCTAATGCCGCTCTTGTCTGCGTACAACTCTTCCTAAAATTATTTTTTGTAAGAATCTTTGTGCATTAGTCTCTTTTTAGATCAAACCCTCTCTCTCCCTTTAAACATACATCCACACAAACCTGCATGCACATAAAATTGCATAGCACTAATCATGTAGATTATGTACTCAATTCATTTTCAATGGGATTTTATTGAACAACCATGAATATCAATTTACTTTCTTAATGTGTAAATTGAAGAGAGTGGGCAACCCATGGTATGAGCCAGAAAGAAAGATTAATAATTGAGAGGTGGATCATATGGACAAATACAATGAATCACATAAAAGGATACATTATTTCATGTATCATATCATATGTAAAAATTATATTCAAACTTTTGATCTTAGTGTTAAAGAGGGAGTCGTTCCTGCAGGCGGTAGGAGTAGACTCTGTATTATTGGGTGTACTTTTTTAATAGATTATGAGACTCAATTGATTTATTAAAAGAATTTAATTTGATTTGGTATTAGTTATAATATATTTTTTATATATTATATCTGATTTTTAAATTTAATTTGATTTGGTATTAGTTATAATATATTTTTTATATATTATATCTGATTTTTAGAGACCCAATAGGTATTTAATAATTTGTTTGATAACAACTAGAACTTTAATAAAAAGCCCAAGAATCAACAATATTATTTTTGAATTGTTTAGTTTGTAGTGGCTGATATACATATTTTCGGTGATGTGTGTTTTGTAATCAATCAATTTGGTGGGTTTTAGTTCTTGATATACAAAGCTTGTAGTCTGATCAATTTGGGGCATATTCAAGGGCTTAGTTGTCACGACCCAAACTCGTCCCTATGGGTTTAGCGTTGTAACCGGCTAGTAATCCTCGGATTACTGAAGGCCTCTGAACAGAATAACATATAATTTAAGGGACTGCGAAAGCCAATATATAAAATACATAGTCCATTGAGTTGTATAGACATACATGGGACATAAATTTCAAAAAAAACTTTATATACTTAGGCGTGACATCATAAATACAATAATTCATGTCACACTCAAACAGATATAACAAAAGGGGACTTAGCCCAATATATACATAAGCAGAAAGCTTGTTTATAAACAAACAGAAAACTAGTTTCAAACATGTGCGTCACAAAAGGAAACCTCCTCAGGAGGCACGATAGCTGCCTGACACGATTAAGACGCCATGTCATTAACTCTGAGCCTGGTCATGCATCTGGTCACCTACATATATAAATAAAAGAGTGAGCTGGAGGCTAGTGAATAATAACAAAGTAAAGATTTTAATGAATGATATCCATAACAGATTTAGATTTCAATTCTCTTATCAAAACAGAAACATAGGCATCTTTGTATCAGAAACGGAGTCATAGTCATATTCAAATCTTGCGTGGGATATCCATTAGCATTATCATATCTCTTTAGTCAAGCATATCAAATTCCATAATGGAACCTCCGGTACCGAGTAACATATCTCATTCATGGGCCACAGTATTATTTCCCCGGGCAAAGGCCTGGCTACAGTATTATTCCCCCAAGCGAGGGCCTCATGACCATAAGCCACAATACTATTGTCACGACCCAAACTCGCCCCTATAGGTTTAGCATCGTAACCGACCAGTAATCCTTGGATTACCGAAGGCCTTTGAACAGATTAACAAGATTAAGGGGCTAGCGGAAGCAAATACATAAATATAGTTGTCCAATGAGTTGTGCTGACTTATATGAAACAGAATATTTAAAACTTTATATACATAACCGGTAGTCAACCATACATTATACCCACACACATTACAGTATTTTAGGTACAACCAACGACATCAAATCAAGTCTTATGTAAATAGAAACCACAGAACTTAAACACAGGACGCTTCGGGAACCTCCACGTGAGGCACAATGGTTGGCTGACAACGGAACACAGATCCAGGCAAAAGCCTTCAGACTCGAACTCCAGAATGCTCACCTATACATACATTTATACAAACAGTGAACTAAAGCCCAGTGAATAACATTAAGGTAAAGAGGTTAGTGAATGAAATCCGAATATATCATACGCAGAAAACAGACCAAAGCATAATCATTCTCATATCAGAACATAATAATGGTACATCCCATAGAACACATCACAGAACGTCTTCTGACTAGAGTAACCGGTTCCGGATACCGATTAAACACATATCACCACAATGAAGTGGCTAACGAGATCTCATAATTACTTGTATGTCATGGACCCGCATTTTCATGCCGTCCCCCATGACTGGGGACTATCTATGGATGCCGTAATAGATTTCAAAATTGGAATATTCGTTCACGAAAACAGATATCATTTTAGAAAGCAGAACTTATCATATTTCATTTGGAACGTAATTCATATAAACGTATCTTTACAATAACGTTACTCACAGTGGTTCCAACAATGGTCAATCAATCCTCGAGTCTTGACCTACAATTACAAAATATATAACACAAGCATGTCTTATCATTACACATTCAAGTGGCCATTAAGACTTAACTTTCATTACATTGGTTCTTATTCTTTCTTATCACATTGCTCAAAACACACTCTTGAATCTCATAAGTTAGTATATTCTTTCCTTAGTGTATTTCTAATCCATAACCTCATTACTAAAGCTTAATTAGGTCTTAGGAATGCCTAAGATGCAATGAGGATGCCAAAACATGAATTGGAACACTTAGTCAAATTTTCTGAAAATAAGGTCCACGCTCGAGCGTAGATTTCCTCGCTCGAGCGGACATGCAAAATGTGAATGGTCGCTCGAGCGCACATTCCTTCGCTCGAGCGATCTGTAAAAGACATGAAACTTCTGGGAGCTTGCAATTCACGTTCGAGCGGACTTTTGGTCGCTCGAGCGGAGTGTACACACTCAGATTGGTCGCTCGAGCGTGAACTTCCACGCTCGAGCGTAGATGCAAATTCTGGAATTTCCAGATTGCACCTTCAAGCTCAAAACTCGAATTCCAACCTTCAAAACACATCTCTTGGGCTCCAAAACTTGAGATAACATATCAAACTTGTAAAACATGAAGAATTTAAGATCATTTCATAAAATCATGGCCCAAGGGTTTGCCAAAAGTTTCCAATTTTCAACTTAAACTTCAAGAATGTTTATGAACACAACATGCATGATTTTTCTTGTATCAAACTTCTCAAAACATGATCAAGCACCACAAATCAACTTGAAACTCGATGATCTTCCCTAATTAAGATGAATTTCAAACATGCATGAGAGAATTCTTGGAGTTCATGCTCAAGTTGTGAGAAAATGTACATGCATACATGAATTGCAACTCAAATCTTTATTCTAAGCTCAATATACACATCAAACTCATAATCTTGAAGAAATTTCATGTTAAATGACTTAGTTACACAATCTAGAGGTTGTAATCTTACCTAGAGTCCTGAATTACCCTTTGTTCTAGCACAATCTTTGATCAATTCAAGCTATAGCCTTCAATTCTTCTTCAATCTC